CACACACACACACATTTACACCTCATCCACAAGCCTTGTTTGATAATGTTTGTTGCTTAGATTAGTTTATGATAGTGATTTGTTTGATTAAGTTCATTGATTTTGGATTGATGTTGCTTTGTTTAAATAAATTCTGTTATAATTTAAGAGAGCAGTTGTTTGTGGTTACTGGTGTATTTGCATTGTGATATAAGCTGGGTGCGAAGGCTTTGTGTACGGATTTCACGCCTTCAATTTATTAAATATAGTTATTCATTATTAATAATATTAGTAATTAAATAACTAATGTGAGACTGATTTGAGTGATATTTTGGTTATATTTACCTGATTACAGGTTGGTGCCCCAAAACGAGATTAAACATAGTTTAATGATATTTTATTTATATTATTGATAATTAAATATAATTATTAAAGAATATAACCAAAGTTGACTTGATACAACCCCAACAATTTATTGAACCAGTCACTGCACAAAAATTGTTATTTGTGTCTACTTATTTATAGCGACTGCCTCTCAATCTAGAAAAACCTTAATTGTATGTACATAACTTTGCATATATGATCAAGATGCTGCTGTACAAGATTTCTGCCAACAAAGTTTTGTTCTGTTCCTAAATACAATAAAGCACCTATCCTATCAAGAAACTTCACACACAAGGATGAACATGTGCACGACCATACGTACATCCTCAGCCGCACACTTCTCCACGTTCCACACGTCTCCTTCCTCTTTGACAAACCAATCTTTTTATATGAATGTGTAAACTGACCTATTTTTGTAGGCCAACCCGGAAGTAGCATCGCCATGGCGTCTAACAAGAATTCTCCTATGGGATGTTTTCATTGGATTTTGGATCATTGCAGAAAAGAAGCTCTGTGGCAAACGCACGTTTCTGAAGCGAAGGCGTTTTGTTCACAAATGAACGCCATCTTTATGATGTTTGAAGCGTTAATGCAGCTGACAGAAGTAAAAAGCTAACGGTATGCTACAAGCTAACTATGCAGCAGTCGGATGATTTTGACGTCACAACCGTTATGCTTCAGACGATCTCCGATAAACTAACCAGTGGTTTTGACAAGCGAGCGAAATCGTGAAATATGGACACAAACGTTTCATTAAACATATATTTTTGAAAAACAAAATTTTATGTTTTTTTTGTGGCACAAAATTTTGCGGAATGCAAAAAGTGCAAATATTAAAAAAATTGTGTTTTCTTGAAACATGAACCACAAAGTTCTTGAAACGCAAAAAATAAATGTCATGAAACAAATTCAAAAGCTTTTTTTTAAACAGAAATTTCCCAAGATGCATAAAATTGGGAATGCATCTTGCATAAAATTTCCTGATTGGACAAAACCAAAGTCCTTACTAACAGTCACACGTCGACATGTTGACATTTTGTGTTTTCGACTGAAGTCCGCTAAACGTAAACAGGAAATGACGTTTTACTGTTGGTAAGGACTCGTCCAGTCACTCTTTGCGTTTCATGAAATGTTTTTTCAGTTGACCTTCAGGGCCACCGTAGAAAAGCTGTGATGTGTTCAATGCTCGCGATGCGCAGTAAAGGCAGGTCAACAGTGTGCAGGTGTGGAGCCATGACGTCATCCTGACTCTAATGACATCTTTATGCTCAGCCCAGCGATCCCTCGACGTCTCAACATGGACGACACAAACACTTTATGACTGAAGAAGTGAAGCACGGTATGAAACGTCTTTAAAGCAGCTGTAAAAGTTTTATTAAAAGTGTTTCCTTCCTCTCTGTGACGTTTCTCATGCTGCCTGGTTTCTCCCTTTTTTGTGTTCAACATTCATGAAGTTGTTTGTGTGACTTTTCAAATTGTCAGTCAAACATGTGCACGTTGATGAACGCACACACACACACACACACACACACACACACACACACACACACACACACACACATGTGCAGGTTAGTGTGTGGTATGTGGGCTGAGTGCTGTCAGTTCACAGGCTGTCCTTGATGACTTCTAAACACAGCTCAGGATTGGCTGCTGCTGTTTCCAGCCGCCCAACGTAAAGCTTTCCTTTAACCGAATCCACAGACACACACACACACACACACACACACACACACACACACACACACACACACACACACGTTGTTGTTGTTGTTGTTCTGCACATGCTCTCGATTGAAGTGATCCCACATGGGACCGTCTGAACCAAAGAGTGCTGAAACGCTCGCCCTTTTCTTTTGGCATCCCGTCCATGTGCACACGGCGAGCCAACAATCTATGGACGTTACCCAGACTGCCAAAAATAAACCCGAGCTGTCTGCGTTCATATCAAAGCTCCGAGATGTGATTTATGAGACGTTTGGACTTTAAAAAGCGTAAAAAAATAAACCACAGCTGAAACAAACACACAAACAAGCTGCAGGATTCAAGAGTTCTGTGACCTTTGACCTCTTCGAATGGAAAAAGGTCATGAAGGAGAGCTGATTTTAAATATCCTCCGATTACAAAATCATGACTCAGCATTAAACAAAGGGCAGTGCCGTGCTGTTTTAAGGAAACATCGTGGTGACATCACAGGACGTCATGTTGATGAGTCAGCGACTTTTTAATGGTTTTAATGTCTCAAACAGAATCCAAATGTTTGAATGTTTTGAGAATGAAACGACTGCTGCACCACCAGGGGGCAGAGTGGAGAACTGATGAAAAAAAACGTGGTATAGCACGAACATCACCCAGCGTAAGGGTTTCCCCGTGGCGCTGCCCTGCTTGCGACCCGGACTCGAGATGCTTTCTGTCTGTTTCCCCAAAGGGACAATGAAGTGTATCAACAGCATGCTGAGTCGTCTTAGCTGGCTGAAGTTGGGGACAAGATGACCGCTTCACTCTCACTTGCAGGGGCGCTTCTAGGGTAACCAGGGGTGGCATTAGCCCCCTTGGAAATCTGACAGGCCGCCACAAAAATTCTTAAAATGTGATCAGCTTACATATTTGTGTTCCAGCTTTTATTTCAGGTGAAAGTTAGAAGAATTGATCCAGAATTTCATTTGGTCGGAAAAAAAAGAGACTGAAGCTGAAGTCTCGGCCGACTTTGCACATCAAACATTTTATCAAATGCATTTTTCTGATGCAAAGGCGCCATGCCCTAGTACAAAAATAAACACTGTTATTTATTTTATTTTCTGTTATTACACTTCCAGACTGATTGAGAAATAATACCCATTTTCACTTTTCATTATAGAAGTATCAAATTGTAGAAAATTGTATAATTCTTCCAATTTTTTTTCCAACTTTGACCCCTCCCCCCAGAAGTTTCTCATTTTATTTGAACGCAGCTCAATAATTTTCTGAGTTATTCTGACCATCAGCAGCTGTTTTACTGAAGAGAGGAAACTGTAACGAGTTACTGAAGTCTGTGGCGCCCTCTGGCGGTCGGTCTGGGAATGACAGCAAGTCAACAGCGGAAGCTCGACCCCCCCGGTCCAGGTTTTCAGCCTCATCTTTGGCACATCCAGGAGCAACAACTACCGTAATTAATTTAAGTTAATTTTGTAATCTACCGTTAAAAGTTTCTTATTTTATTTCAAAATAAAAGCACGGTTGAATTCAAACAGGAAGTAAAGTACTCTCAGAAACGTCCAAGATAAAAGCCTAACTATTTTTATTTTTAATAGTGAAATAATGATTAATTAATGATGAATAGCAATTTACTTTGGACAGCCCATTTTTGCATTGATTTATTTCAGGGTTAGATTTTTATTTCTGTCAGTTTCTTCAGGAAGCTCCTCGATAAACATCCACACATTTTATTTTTCTCGAGGTATGAACTTATTGATGTCATTATCTTTTGTGAACAACGCTGGACCTCCTGAGATGGAAAGTGAATTTCTCGAGATCTGAAGAAATCAGATTTATTTTCCTGGGATAAACACGTAAATATGTTGATCTTATAAAAACAACTTGAAATGATTTGTTGTATCACATGAAAACAAAGTAAAATAAAATGTCTGCTTGGGGCTTCTGTAGTATCGTCCTTCATCATCTCTTTTCTCCTCACCACATCTCAACTGAAGAATCCTCTTTATCCATATTTTGGCCGATTGAACCTTCAGTGATGTGGAGACTTTGAGACGTGTTTTTCTTTCCTTTCAGGTACAATAACTTGTCTCTCCTGTTTTGGGTCAGGCTGTTCTGGTTCTATTTTCCGCAGTGTTTGTGGTAGTACTCATTTCCACCACAAGAGGGCAGAATGAGAACTACAACTTGACTTTACAAAATTAAAATAAATAATTTCCTCTTATGGGAGAAAAGGGCAAAACATAAAGGCTATAAAGAAATGTCACTCAGGTGACACAAATGTAACTCTGCCCCCTAGTGTTTAAAATGGGTACTGCAGTCTAAATTCTAAACATCATAGAGAGCTGTCTCCCCCCCCCCTCCTCTCTAGAGTGGATGCTCACTCAGGTCACCATGTGGTGGACTCTGAAGCTTCAGTGTTTATCCAGCTCTGCATGGGTCTGTAAACCTTTCTGTGTTCTAACCTCTCTCCATTTTTCAAAAGCATCTCCAATATTGATCCTAGTTTGAGCACGTTTCTGCTCGTGGAGCTTATTAGAAACATGCAGAGGCTTTTTAGGTCGGGTACAATCACTTCTATCTGAACCACTTCTCTTGACCGCTTCCATCACTGCAACACCTGTTGACCTGATAACTGCTCTCATATCTGACAAACTGAGGGGCGTCCAAAACGGCCGTGTGGGGGGGTCGCCTTCAAAGCGCCTACCTTCTCTGGTCCAAACAAATCCAGAGCATTCAGGAGCAGAATCTAAAGTTAGAAGGAGGACATACTGGCTGCTGCATTGTTGTCAGAGAAGCCAGCACTTCAACATAGCATGTTTCCTTAATGATCAGAGGGTAAGATACCTTTATCATCTCACTCTCTACACAGCTCACTGATAGGACCTTAAACTTGTTTAAGATGTAAACAGAAAAGACAAAGAATCAATAACAACAAACCACACAGAGACGTTTGTAACAGAGCCTGTATATTTTTTGTACATTTTTCTGCAAAATACAAATACTAGCACATTCGTGAGCGAGTGACTTTGCTGTACATGATCTCTGACTGCAACAACAGTTTGTTGTTTTTTTATTATTCCGAGGAACATTGTCTCCAAAGTGGCGACAAAGGCCAGCTTATGCCGCTAACAATCTCTTTTTAAGAATATTATATTCGTAGTTATTATTAGAAGCATTTCAGGAGGGGAAATTTACAGAACAGGACATTCACCGATGTCTCCAGATACAAATTAAATCATCTCATCAGGCAGTTACTCATTAAAGAATCAAACCAAAAAACACCATAAACAGGCTATTACACACTTTGGTTAGTTGACACTCCTCCTTCAACGCCACCCGCTCGCGGTCGACTCCACCCGGAGCCGGAGGACGAGCTCCTGGCTCCCCCCCCCCACAAGCGGCTCAGACCAGACGGGTGTGTTTCAGCGAGTCTGAACCCGGAGACAACGTCGTAAACGAAAGGAGTGCAGAAAGAAAAACAACACGTGGGCTCTGCCCTTGAACACACGGCTAACTACAAGGCAGCTAGTGCAGCTAGCTAACGGGGGCTGAATCAGAGAATTTATTCGCTAACGGGGGGGTTGGGCAGACTGCTGACAGTGGCTGAGGGTCTGAGCTCCAGATATACATTTTTTAAACCAAAATATTCAAATGTGAACGACCCTCAGCCACCGCTCTGTCTGCTGCCGATTTAAAAAAAAAAAAGTGGACGTGAGAAGATTCTGTTCGGCTTCTTGTGGCGTCGGAGTTGCGGAGGTACGAGGCACAGAGCGATGCAAAAACCTCAGCAGAAAAGACACTCAGATCACTTTGTCTAAATACATTCATACGTCCGTCAAACCTCTCAGGGGAATATTTAATTTTTCATGCACCAAGTCATGAGACAGCTTTAGTTTATTTTGTTTGTGTGACAAGATTTTTTACAGCAAAAACTAAATTCCTGCAGCTTGAACCGAATTAGTGTCCACAAAAAATATAAAACCACACATCCACTTCCTGGTCGGTTCCTCCTGGAGTGTTTTACACATTTTTTAAATCAAAGAAAACTCTGAAGATTCAGCCTCTGCCTGAAACTCTTTGTTTCAGCTGCTGTCTCTTTAAGGCCCCACTCTCTTCTGATTGGCCGGCTTTCTGGAAGCCCTACGTGGAGGGCAGAACGCTGCAGGGCTGCCAGGGGAGGGCTGCTCTCCAGGTCTGGGAGAAGAGAGTCTATGTAAGAGGTTTCAGAGTCTTGAAGCCGTCTGGGGAAATTCTTGGTTTCATATCGGGGAGCTATGGCGTGATTTACAGAACGAGGCGTTTAGCGCCCTCTGCAGACTCATCCTGGGATTACTCCAACATACGTTTACCTCATGATCTGAAACTTTGACCACGTTTAGTTTAGACGTCCAGGATTATGACATTTGAATTTTAAAAAGGGGATCAGCAGAATATTTGAAGTCTGATTGATGGATCTGCACTGGAGAAAGGATTTTTGTACGAGTAGTACTTCAGTGAAGGATCTGAGTTTCTTTCCACGGCTGCATAGTCTGTTTTAACTGACCACTCAGTCACTGCAGAGGACGGCTGCATGTTGTGCTTCTGTGCTCTGAGATTGTCTCTTTGTTTTCACCCCCGACGCCAGCTGAACAGGAAACTCTAAAGTGACCTCAAACCTCCCTGAACGTTCAATAGAAAATGTCTCTCTGTTTTTTTTATTTTATTTAAATAGAGCTGCAGACAATATCCGACAATATCAATTTGATACAATAAGGAGTTAAAAAAAACCACAAACACTATAAACTCTGTGCAGCAAAGCATCTCTGTCCTGTTGGATATGGCTTTAAAGAGTGCGAACGCCACTCTGGACGAATCCTGCGAAGCCTTCAGCACATGCGTACATGCTCAACCTCTCTCTCTCTCTCTCTCTCTCTCTCTCTCTCTCTCCCTCTCCCTCTCTCAAGTTTCAGTTTGTTTAAAACCACAGAAGCTTTAAACGTTTGAGAGGAAAATAACGCACGCTCTTTAATTTGTATGGAAGCAAAAAAAGACCAAAATTCTTCAGAACTTCGAGTATGCCGTTAGCTTTAAACTAAACGACGGCTCACGCAACATATTTCTTGTCCGGGCTACGTCGGAGAAGCTCGTGCAAAGATGGCCGACCATCAGCCCGTAAATAGAATTCAGCTACTTTTGTATTTTAATATAAATTGCTGAAATACAAAACCTATCACAGTACGGTTACTTTTTTTGTACGACTGTCGTTGGCTGGCTAGCTAGCTTTGACATTTGATAGTGTGAGAGCTGCAGTGCATTCTGGGAGGTGTAGTACAACCAGTATGCTCCCGTCTCTTTCTGGCAGATCTAGAAATCATGCGGTTTAAGACGCGTCACGTGTTTCTGTAGTTTCAAATCGTTCTTCACTGCCGGTTATCTCGCTGCATTTGCTAAATATTCTCTCAACGCTTTTCTCTGTAATTTAAAAAAGAAAGGAAAGAATTTTGTCCTTTCTCTGCTTCCATACATTTTTTGTCTAGTTAATATTTGGTACACGTCTCTGAACACTTATTTTTAAAATCACTTCCTCGCCGCTCACTCTGAAACCTCTTTCCTCTCTCACCATCTTCTTCTTCTTCATCCCTCCTCCTCTTCCTCCTCTCACCATACTTCCTCTTCATCTTTCTACCTGATTTTTGACCCTCTTTGCCTTCCATACATTCATGTTTAATTGTGTTAAAGTGTTATAAAAAATGTTGATCCTGCAACACGGCGTGGACGGAGCGCCGCGCCCCGCCTCGCCCGCTCTCGTGTGTCACGTTTGATTTCAGCAGGAGCTTCACGTTCAGAGTACCAGACTTCTTCTTCACTTTGTGTTCGTTTGCATACATGTTTGCACATGCAGAGTGTGCATGGAACATATCGGTTATTTACGTAGATTTCCCCCGGCCCCCTCAACACACACACACACAACAAGCAGAACACGTACGAACTCCCGGGCTGTTTACGAACACATTTCGCCTCCGAGGACGCCGACTCATCAAAACTGCTGCTGAGTGACAAAGTCCAAATCCCTCAAGACGTTTCAAACGCTTCTGACAGAAAGCTGCGTCAGCTCGCTCGGTTTAATTAATGGGACTAAGATTCAGTTATTTATTTCTTTGAGAAGCGTCGTGCTCTTTCACAGAAAACGATTTTCAAACGTGGCGCTCGGATGCAAATCATAACAAACATTTAAATGTTAGACATTCGTTTGTTTCCTACTTGTGGTCACTTTTTTTAAACACAGTTAAGCAGTGAGTACAGTATGTTATTCTTCTTTTCTCTAGTCCCTCAATTAAACAACTTTTATACACGAGGGGAGGAGTCAGCCGGCCGTCCGGGCGATGTAAACAAAGTGAAGATAGGACTCTGAAAACTGTGAAAACATCACAGACAGTGGGACTCGGGTGTTACACCCATTGTAGACAGTCATGACTCACAGAGTTATTTTCAGAGGAGATACTGGATTTCTACATTTAAGTGTGACAAATCACAGATTAAGACTTTAAATCTGCGCTCCAGTTGATCTCAGAAGTCAGAAATTCTGAGTTGCCGGTCTGATACGTCATCAGGAATTCAGACTCAGGAACTCGTAGAACCTTCAGAAGCCCGAGTTAAAATCCAACATGGCTGCTCCGTGCATCAACTGTAACGTTCTATCTGTAAACATGTTGTCACATTATTGAGCACAAACTATCACGACGTGCGTCCATGTTGCTTGTTGCCAACTCGCAACTGGAACACGGTTAACCTCGAATTTGACGTCATTCCCAGCTCTGAGATCAGAGGTTAAAGGAGCGCACCATGAGCTTCCTGGAAACCTCAGATCATCCGATTTAAATTTGTGTTTTCTGCAGACTTTCTGTTTTTAAATCTTTAACAATCAAAGTTTGTTTTGGTTTTTTCATGCAACTCTGCAGCTGGGAAATACTGAATGATGTCACATACTTTAAAACTTTAGTTGTGGAAAATTTGACAAATATTTCAGTTAGAAGACCGTTGTAGGCGTCGGGTAGATCCTTGTCTCTGATTGGCTGTTTCTGATTGGCTGTCATATTATGCATTTTTAGCATTCGTCATGTTTCTCTGTTGTGAGAAGAAAACAGCAGATTAATATTTGTATTCTTTGTTTTGTCACTCGTCAGCAGTTGATGAGTGAACCCTGACCTTCGTCTGTCAGGCGTCCTCGTGTGGTTGACCTTCAGTACACGATGGTAAAGATTTTAACCAGACCGTCTGCCCCCTCACGTACATGTTACACGTTTAGCACACCCACTCGGTACAGAAGAATATGATAATTATAATAATAATAACACTATAAGGTAACTTTGCTAAGCCCCTCCCCCTCTGGCTGCAGGCCACTCCCATCATGTGGCCCACCCCTCTGATAGCCTCATCCGCTTCACCGACGGGCTGTGCCGCTCGTCCTGACTGGACATGGGCCGGTGCAGGTAGTTGTCGTTGCCGTGGTGATGATCGTCGCGTTCCTCGCTGCCCTCGTACGAGCTCCCGCAGCTGGACGCCGCGCTGTCGCCGGGAGAGCGGCCGGGCTCGTTGGGACCCCGGCCCGCGGCGGAGGAGTAACCGACCGTGGACACGCCTCCTCCCAGTCCTCCGAGTCCTGCCCCCATCATGCTCCGGTCTCTGGGAGGGGAGGCGGGCTCGGACTTGATGTGGAGGTGCTGAGGAGTGAAGTCCAGGTTCGAGTTCTGACACAAGTTCCTGAAAGAGGAGAAAGAAGGCGGGGTCAGAAAAATACACACACACACACACACACACACACACACACACACGCACAGACACACACACACACGCACAGACACACACACGCACACACACACACACACACACACACGCACAGACACACACACACACACACACACACACACACACACGCACAGACACACACACGCACACACACACACAC